TGAGTTTGCTTTCTTTGGAACGTGTTTGCTGTGCCTCTACCGATAAGCCGTTCATGGCTAAGAAATACACTGTGTCTTAACCTATCAGTGAAAACGTCAGCTAATGGGTGAGATATGGAGGCATCTGCTCCATTCTCCACCTATACAGCATTTTTACGCCAATCACTTCTAAAATAGATAAGATTCTAAATGGTTTAAAAGCTTTGTTTGTTTGACATGCTGGGTCATTCAACCAAGTAAAAAGCAGCTCCTGATGAAATTTCCTCTTCTGCCATGTTTTATTTATTTTTTATTGTCAGCTGCATTAAAATAAAACTTAATTGCTCTCCCATTCTGTGTCTTTCACTATTCGCATGCCAAGAGGTAAAAATCTCAGGACACCCTGATTCTATAGGATGGACCCAGGGCAGTTCAAGCGATATAAAAGTGCCGTAAAAGTGTTGTGGAACTAATCTGCACTGCAGAAGTAATGCACTTTGAGACCACTTTAGCTGCCATGGCTCAGTGCTATGGAATTCTTATATATCTTGCGAGCCGCCTTGGGTCCCTTTTTGGGAGAACGATGGCATTAAAATGAAACAAACAAATAAATAAAATATGGGATTTGTAGTTTTACAGTGGTCCGTCACCATCTGTGGTTTGCCTTTGAGCATCCATGGATGGCAAGCCCTGTTGTCCTCAATGGTGGCATGTGTACGCAGTTATGCTAGAAGCTGCATGCACTGCTACATGCCATTAAAAACAATGGGATTTGAGGTCCCACGTTTTTTCGTGTTCAGGAGGGGACCAGAATGGATCCCCTGCAGATAGGACGGTCCAACTGTATTTATTTATTTATTACAGTCACCCCTCCGTTTTTGCAGACTTGAGATCCATAGTTTTGAATATTCACGGAGGGGCGACCTCACTTAAAATCAATGGGGCACACTATGAACACCTTAATTGGGTTAGAAAATAAGTAATGTATAGAACAAATCGAAGCTGATGGTAAATAATCACAGTTCTGGTCTTCAGAAACGAGTGTCCATAACAAAAATCATGATAAGTTACGGAATATTAAAACTGATAAGATGTATATGATAAAATATGATACAGATTGTAAGTTGAGAAAGGAAAAATCTAAAAGTTGACTAAAAATATTAGATATTCCTAGTAAAGGAAGGGAAGTTTCTTTTATGTAAGTTTGTTTATGTGGTATTTGTTAGTATTAGATGTATGTATGTATGTATATTTAGATAATTAGAATGTCTTATGTTTATATGTGAATTTTAATATGTGGAAATAATAAAAAAAAAATGGGGCTTGAATATTGGCGAGTCTCAATTTTCGCAGAGAGGTCCAGAACAGATCCCCCACAAAAACAGAGGGCTGACTATATTTACTTTATTTATTTGCCACCTTTCCCCCAGGACAGGACCCAAGGCAGCTTCCATAACAACAAATTACAAATGTTTACAAAATGTTTTAAAACCAATTTCAAAACACCACATTAAAACACTACAAAACTGATTAAAAGTCATACAAAAGTTAAAAACAGATCAGGCATACACAAGTATTAAACACCTTCCCTGCTTAAGCATTAAAAGCTTGTTTAAATAAAAATGTTGTTGCTTGCTGGCAAAAGAGAGGGGTTCAGTTCCCCACTGAGACCAGGGTTCGATCCCTGCTTGGTCATGAAACCCACTGGGTGACCTTGGGCAAGTCACACACTCTCAGCCTCAGGAGAATGCAAGGCAAACCTATTCTGAACAAATCTTGTCAAGAAAAACCTGTGATAAATTCACTTTAGGATCGCCATAAGTTGGAAACAACTTGAAGGTATACAACAACAATCAGGTATGTAAGTTTCAGGATTTTGAAACTGTATAACCTAGACAAAGAGACACCGGATGTTTTTATATTATTATTACAGAAGAAAGATCATAGCTTTCATAGATATATTCCACAGTGGGCTGTTGTTATCTGCTGGGGTTTGGTTCCAGACTCCCTGTGGATACCAAAATCTGTGAATGCAGAAGTCTCATGAAATACAATAGTATAGTAAAATGGTGTCCCTTATATAAAATAGCAAAATCAAGGTTTGCTTTTTGGATGATTATTATTATTTTTCAATATTTTCCAGACTTGGATGGTTGGATCTATGGATGCAGAATCCATGGATATGGAGAAACAACTAAATTTAGAATTAAATTTAGCTCTTTCTCTGTCCACCATCCATATTTTCAGATACAATATAATGATACCTAGAAGGTCACTGGACACTTACCTACGGATCCCAACTCCCACCATCCCCCTGCAAAACATTTCCTTTTAAAAGACTGAACAAGATGCCAAAAAGCTAACGTAATAGGGTTTGGGCCCTTCGTAAAGACAAAAATATGTGCATCTGGTCATTTATGAATGTGGACAGTCGGTTTGTTTTACAGAGAAACATAATGCATTGTTGTTGCTGCTGCTGCTGCTGCTGCTGCTGCTGTGTGCCTTCAAGTCATTTCTGACTTATGACGACCCTAAGGCAAACCTATCATGGGTTTTTCTTGGCAAGATTTGTTCAGAGGAGGTTTGCCATTGCCTTCCCCTGCGGCTGAGAGTATGTGACTTGCCCATGGCCACCCAGTGGGTTTCATGGCTGAGCTGGGAATCGAACCCTGGTCTCCAGAGCTGTAGTCCAACATAATGCTACGTTCCTTGAAATCAATACATTCATTTGGTATTTAGGCAAAATCCACACTTGTTAACTGCTTCCTAATTGTTGTAACTTGGTCATATCATGACTCCAAAGAAAAGACAAGGATGCTTGGTAAAATGGTGGGCATAGATAGGAAGAAAATCAACACCTTTGAAATGAGGTGCTGAATAAGAGTTCTGGGAGCCAGTGTGGTGTAGTGGTTTGAGCGTTGGAGTATAACTCTGGAAATCAGGGTCCGAATCCTGGCTCGGCCATTTAAACTCCCTGGGGTGACCTTGGGCAAGTCACAATCTCTCAGCCTCAGGGGAAAGCAATGGCAAACCCCCCTGAAGAAATGTGCCAAGAAAACCCCATGATTAGTGTTGCCACAAGTCTGAAACAACTTGAAGGCACACAACAAGAAGAAGAAGAACGGTTGTCTGGCTAACGTATAAATGGGTCTTCTTGCAAATCAAGGCTGAATTCTCCCTAGAAGAATTGTAGGAGAATCCAATTGTGGGAGAAAGGTGGGATATAAATCCTTTAAATAAATTAAATTAAATAGAAGTCAGGATAGCTAAACAGAGACTGCTGTACTCTGGCCATATTGTGAGAAGGCTGGACTCCCTAGAAAAAGATGATAATGCTTGGTAAAGTGAAAGGCAGTAGGAAGAGAGGAAGGGCCTTTGCAGACTGCTAGAAATAGTGCAAATTGAGTC